GTTATATATAACAGAGGAAAAGTGTAGCGCTCGGTCAAAAAATGACCCCTCCCAAATTTTTAATTTTTGGATTTGGGACACCTTGAAATTTCGAGATATGCAAAAGATCCGAGGTGTTTTTCCATATGTGTGGATGTTAGACTGTATGTGGGGGGGGCATGATTTCGTTCACCCTGTTTGAAGACTGTTTGAAGAATAATTTCTGTGGTCAGAGTGGTCAGAATACGAGTCCGATGGTTTAACACAGGAGTTAGTTATTTAAGTCAAAGTGGTTGAACTAAATCGTGTCCCCATATACATTCTAACATCTTAAGCGAGAACATCTTAACGGGTTTTACTGTACTATTATAAAATGGCAAAAAAGCTTACTTTGAGGGTAAAAACGAGTTTTATTTTATTTTATTAAATTTTGAATGCTAATAACGAGTAAAATATTCATTAAGAGACATGACACATGACCACTTTTATGTCTTCACACTGTCGACCTTTAATTAAGAACCAAAATTTAATAGTATTAATGCCCCTTTATACGCAAGCTACAGTGCCACATTTTGTTTCTTAAACTTTACCCGTTCAGAGATATTGTTTAATATCTCAGAACAGAAAATAAAGAAATTAAACAAATTAGATGCCAACACGCGCGTGTGCGAATTTTTTCCCTTTATTTACTTTTTTGAGGGGTTCGGGAGGTCTCCAAACGTGTGGATTTGCAAAAAAAACTTGGAGGGTCAAATTTGACACAATTCCAATACTTTTCCGTTTTATATACATAACAAGTTGGTAAGTAAAAAGGAGTCGGAGTCTGCAGATTTTTTGACGACTCCGACTCCGGCTAAAACATCAAAACTCCCCGACTCCGACTCCACAGCCCTGCTTTATATCAGAAAAAGATTTTAATTTAAATATGTTACTTAGAGTAACAGAATTAATTTTATAGCTTAAATATGTTTTAATGTAAAATACAAAATTAAGAGACATTTTAAAGATTTTAGAATTCTAAATTAGAGAATTAATTTTGTTAGAAATAACACAAGCATAACTAATAGCTATTTTACTATATTATGGTTTTTGAAAGGATTTGGTTATACAATATAGCAAGAGGTATTGAAAATGAACCTGTGACTGCAAGACAACTTCCAAAATCTATAGGATGTGGTAAAAACTTTCCTGGTAAAGCAGCATTAAATACAAAAGCAAAGGTATGTCTTAATTCTAATTATTAAATTAAATTAAAATGAGTACTTCCTAAATTAAATTAAATTTAAATAATTTAGGAAGTAGTCATATTTTATATTTTAATTATAAAATATAATAATTTGATGTAATATAATTGAAAATGATTTATATTTACACATAAATTTTTAACAATTTTTTATCAATTTTAGTTTTATATTAAAATGAAATTTAGTTACACTGCTATTTATAGAAATTAAATTACCAAGAAGAATGCATTATAAATAATAAAAATTTGTATCATTATACAAATTTTCATTATTTATTCAAATTTGGGATAGGTCTTGGTAAGAAATGAAAATGATTACAATAGAACCTGTTTACAAAATTCTTGTGTTCACCACATTTATTCAACCATCTCAGCTTCGGTATAAATGTAAACTATATAGATTGTAAATTTGTAGTTTCATATTTATATTTCTAAAATTTGCAAATATAATATTAGTGGGAAGGTTTTACACATCAGTAAAGGGAGTCTGAAACAAATATTGCACAAATGAACAAGAAGATAAGTAGTTGTATCATATGGTATTGACAGATTGCTGAATTCTATTCCAAGGATTAGTAAAACATCGGAGCAGTGTCATATCAGGAAATTTCTGTAGGTTCTGTTCAATAGCATTTGTATAGTAGAAACTGTGTTTATTGTCCATTGCTTTGACTTTCTTGAGTCTACTATTAATGTCAAAAACTGCAGTGATGTCAAAAATATAAATAAATTAGGACAGTTATTTGCACTGTATAGTGTTTTCTTATAAATCAGTTTAGTCTGCTATATTATGATGATTAGATTCTTCTCAAATTGCACTTACTTAAAAATAACCACCCTTTACTAACCTTTAACATGCAGTCTATTTTATTAACGTAATCTAACGTTTTTGATCAAATTAATTGACCTTCATCAGGATTGAACGAACAATTTTTGATTTATGAGGAATGAAACCAATAATAAAACGTTTTAACTTTAAACGCTATCTCAGAGCTTATTGTGCAAGTCCAAAAATAATTATAAACTATGGATTGATAATGTACAAATATACGCATACACTAACACATAAAAATAAAAATACAAATTAATAATAATAAAGAAATAGATGATATAACTGGCTTCTACTAATGTCTGTCTATGCTTTTTTCTTTATGCTGATATGTTCATAATGCACCCACTCTCCATGCTGTGAATACTTTATATGATTGTTTGAAGTTTATAGCCTTTCCTGCTCGACTGCTCTTATAAATATGCCAGGCTTCTGCATATTTAATGTCTCCTGTCTTGCACCTTATGTATTATTTCTGCTCTTTCCCATTTCACTGATACCTCTTTTGGGTCTGCTATAACGTATGTCACTAAAGCCGTGACATGTTGCTCCTTCTGTATGTTCCTTTTGTGCTCTTTTATTTTTTCTTTTAATGACCTCCTTGAAGCACCAACGTAGCACAGTTCTTCTTGCCACCTCCCATCTTATATGGGTATTCTATAAACTCCCAGGAATAAGGTTCTGGTCTAGGATCTTTGTCCATATGTAGCATCTGATATATTGTTGGGTTCCTTTTAAATACAGGTAGGCCTCCTACAACGCAGTAGATATGTTTCTTGAAAATACCGCATTGTGGGAAATCACGTTATACGAGACACCAACTTAATACAAAAAACTGAGATTCGGTTCTAAAAAGAGAAAAACTTGGCGTTTGAATGGCGTTTTTTTGAATTTTTCAAAACAGCCATTGCTAGCCACGAATTTAACACTGGTTTCATCAGCTGACAACTGTCCCATTAGTTTTAAATAATAAAATATTTTTAAGGCTTTGTGTTTAAGTGCAGTTTTATTTAAAGGCAACCGTTTCTTGTTCATATCTTCTACCCATAATATTAGTGCTTGTTCCATTTTTTCCATTATAGGTGCTCTCGGATGAGCAACATTTTTCGCGAGAATAGATGATCCGGATGTGACCAAATTTCTGATCTTTTCTCCCGACCGAATCGTCGACTCATTTAAATTAAAATGCCTACTAATATCAGCTATCCGCTCTTGATTTTTAATTTGATCAAAAATTTCTATCTTTGAAGAGTTATAAATTTCCTTTTTAATGACGGTCCTTTTTTTTCATTCGGCATTGTTATGGCTAAAATTTTTTCAATCAGTTTTGTGGACAGTAAAAATCGCAAAAAATAACTTTTCTTCACTATGTTGTTAAAAATATACACCCAATAGAAGTTTATACTGTATTTTGGACTATTTTTGCTGTCCCCACTTATTGAAACAGTATAAATGATGGAAAATTTAGTGATATATTTGAGTGTTTATGGTAACTGATGCACATCTGTCTAGAAACCGGTCTTCCCCTGAAACTTTCAAGGGAATAAGTAACACGCCAACGGCGACAAACAGCTGTTTTCCAGGACATTTAGTTCTGTATGTCGAATTGTGGTTCGTATCACGTGATCCGTTGCAATTTTTCTGTTATGTGAAAGATAATTAGTTTCTAAATACTGTAAACTGCGTTGTAAGAAAATTTCCGCATTTTTCCAACCGCGTTGGAGCGAAAACGCTTTGTAAAGGTACCACGTTGTAGGAAGCCTACCTGTACTATCTTTTTGTTAGTAACTGCTTTTATTTCTTTGTAAATGTTGGATAAGGGTGCCATGTACTCTAGTACTGTGTACTTTTTTACTCCTCCCTGTTAATTGCTTTCATTATCGTCTAGTCTTTTCTTGTTTTATTGAATAAGTCCTTTATTTTATTCTGATTGACTCTGACCTGCCATGCTAACTTTTTGATATGTTCTAATTCCTTATGTCTGTCCTGCACATTGCTGCAATGCGTGTACACTGATTTTACAAGTGCCCTGAACGCTGCCAGTTTATAACTTGCTTGGTTGTGTGAGGTCCATGGTATTAATAATGGATTATAAGTGGGCTTTCTGTACACTTTAGTAGTGATTTCTCCTTCTCTTTCTACTTCTATTAATATATCTAGGAAGTGTATCTTTTTATCGTTCTGTTGTTCTAGCTTGAGGTCTAGACCAAACTTGTCAGCGTTGACGTATCTGAGAAATTGTTGAATGTCTGGTTTTTCTTTCCATACAATCAAGATGTCATCCACATATTGTGCATGTATTGGCATATGACCTTAGTATTTCTTTAAGATGGTTTTCTCTAATGTCCTTAATACCATTTCTCACAGTGCTCGATACAGGACTTCCCATTGCCACTCCTCTATGTTGAGTGTATGTTATATAGTTAAAACTGAAAACTGACAAATATGTAGCTAGGTGTGTCAGTTCCAGTATCTGTTTTCTAAGTTTTGTCGTGTTTTCGATTTTGCTCAATAAAAAGTCTCAGATGGCAAAAGCATTGCTCTAGTTTAATTGAGGGGTATAATGCCTTGAAGTCTAGTACTGTCATATAACTTTTTTCTGTTAATTTCAAATTTTTTATTTTCTGGAGCAATTCTAGTGACTGTTTTATGCTGTATTCATGTGATGATTAGATTTTTGTACATATGCTTTTTACTTTCTCAGCTCTCTTAAATATAACAGAGGAAAAGTATGGCAATTGGTCAAAAAATGACTCCTCAGATTTTTACATTTTTGGACTCAGGACCTTGAAACATTAAGAAATACAAAAAAGAAATTTTTCTGTATGTATGGATGTTTACTTTTGCAATTTGATTATAATGATTATTTAAAAATTCCAACTACTTTACTGGACTACAGTAAAGTAATTGAATTAGTGTTTGGATTTTGTAAGGTTTGGTTATTTTCTATAAATCTGATGGAAATGTTAAAATATATGACAAGTGAATCTTATTTCTAGAATGAAAATAACATGTAATTGAAGTTACAAGAAAAATAAAGACAGTAATATAATAAAAATTCTGAATTCATGATTGGGGTCTATTAAAACAGTATAAAATTACTGTACTTAATTGAATGAAAGACACATTTTTTTCAGATCTTAATATTTCTGAAAATAAGGCAGGTCTTTGATTTAGTTAATACTTCATAATTAGTGGTCTCTAGTACTGTGTTCTTAGTGTTTATTGCTTAGTGCTAATGGAATTAATGCTGTCACTAATTTTATTGCATCATTTTAAAGATTTTATGAGAACAATATTCATGATAGTAAATATTTAAGGGGTCAACTTAGCTCAATTCCATTAGTCTGTTAATAAACATAATATTGTAAGTACTTGACAAAAATTCCAGAAAAAGTTTGCAGCATTCTTTCAAAAATGCTGCACTTCTGATGTTTAAAGTGGTATTTAGAATGATTGTACATGGAAAGATATGAGCACAAAATCCAATGTTGATTCAGAAGAGCCTTCATGAAAAAATGGAGAGATTTATGACTTCAATATCATAGAAAACAGTGATTAGGCAGCAGCTTTCAAATTGCAGAACTATAGATTTCCATTATCATCCATGTTTGTCTGTGCCCTTCCTTAATCTTAAGAACTAAGTTAGTTGGATGAAAATTCAGACTACATATGGAAGCTTAGAGCCAGAGGTCTTGATTAAGTATATATGAATTTCTGGTCTGGATGAAAGGGACATGATTTTTTAAAATTAAAATGTGATTAAAAATTGCAGCCTGGCATTGTGACAATGTTATATTACAATAACTAAACAATTTTATGTAATTAATTTTACTTGCAATAAATACTGAACAAATTTATGTCAAACAGAATCAGTTCTATTGATATAGATTTGTCTCAAGTTTTCATTTTTCAAAAAATGGGATGAGCATATAGAAATTAAATTGTGTCTTAGATTCAATATTGTCTTACATTTGAGTAAATACAGTATATTAAATCTACAAATTATGAAAAATCTGTAGTTTCATTTTACTAAATTATGTAAATGAACAAAATAAACTTTCATAAGCTATTAAGCATGTTATCATTCAGAATTTTTTATATATAAGAAAATAGTACATCATCTGCTCTTTGTAAATAAATCAGTCCATCGATTTTAAATATCTGTTGATAGATTATAATCTAAACAGCTGATTTTGATGATGATGATCATCATCATCATCAAAATCAGCTGTTTAGATCAAAATCATTATCAAATATTCTCTATAATATATAATATAATCAGATTGCATTCCAATAAATTGCTGAATTTTTATTTTTTTAAATTAAAATTTTAATTCTAAAAAATATAAAATTAATATTTTATTATTCCACGAGTTAATGAAATATTAATTTTGTCAGTCAAAAAAGAAATAATAAACATCATTTAACTGAATTAAATATTCTGATTAATTTTTACAGTTCTTACAATATTTCAAGTTCCAGTCAAATGCATTGTATTTTGATTACTGCTTTATAAGTTTTCTTCAGAATTAGTCAGCCATAGTGGCAAAATATTAACTTTTAAATAATTAATTTTTTTTATGAAGGTAAAATTGAAACTAATTTTTTAAATACAAATGTTATAATAAATCTTTGCAATTGTTATGAAAAATATAAAATGATACATTAACAATGTAAATAAATAAATTAACAATACTTTTACTAGTCTCAACTTAAATATGTTTTTTGAATTTTAAATCATATGACAAAAGCACAGTTACATGTTAATGATCTTCACACAAATGAACAAAAACTCCTTTGACCTTTCCTTGTAGACTTCTAGCAAAGTTGCATAAAATAACACAACTGCTCTGTCAGGTGCAGAAAATATATATTTTATTTATTAAATTTATCATTTATGTACTTAAATTCATTAACTTTAAATATACCATGTGAAAGATTTAAGTATAAGTTTTTGATAATTATATCAATACTAATAGTATAATTACAAAATAGTAATTTTTTAAATAATTTATTATGCAAATGTTTATACAAATGCAAAGTTTAATTCAATTTTTAAATTTAATTTATTAATTCAATCTTAATATTTAGGTTCGTGTTTGGTTACAAAAATTAACTGAAGAACTGGAAGAGCGTTTAATGAAAGATCAACATGACGTAATATTATTTATTTTTAAAAATTAAAATATATTAATTAAAAATAATTCTTAAAAGACAATCCACAGAAAATTAGTATTTGTGAACATGATAAAATTATAATTGAAAGCATTCACTTTTATTTGTAAGCCTTTTGTCTATCTTCAAAGTGTAAATTTGTTAGATTATTTAGAGAATATTCTTAAAGTTTATTTTCTTCTTTTTAAATAATCAAAATATATAAAAACTAGTAGCCTGGGATGCCCCCTAGTGGACGTTCTTTACAAATTTCCATGAGGCACGGTTCCTTTGACTTTTTTGTTCCTATCAATATGCTCTACAGCTCTGTTAAAATCCGAATGGTAAGATTTACCCTCCGAATGAAGAGGTGGCGATCCCCCCAAACTGTGAACCCCTGTACTAACGATAAAGTCAAAGGAACCATACCCCTACTCGTGACCCTTCGAGACATATAAGCCTCGTTGTGGCCGGATGGCCGAGTGGTCAAGGTGGCAGCCTACTGCTCCGAGGGACCCGGGTTCGAATCCGAACGGGTTGAAAAATTCCCAGGAATTTTTCGGGTGGTGGTCCGTTCGGATATGTCGGGCCCCGGCCCTCACCACCCGGCAGCCCCATTGTGGGNTTCGAGAGATATAAGCCCCTGAAATAATAAATTCCTATTACAAATATACTGAATTATTTATATTGTTATATTGACCAAATAATAATTTATTGGCCAAATGAATAATAAAAATTTATATTGTTAATTTAAATAAGAATTAAAATTGTTACTTTGAATGTTTGAAATATGACACACGATAGGGGCGCCTCTAGTGTCCGTTATCAAACGGTTACGGGGCGGACGGACACGTTGAATGGGTTATATATATAGATGCACTGAGGCATCAAAGTTTTTTCATAAGTTTATTGTGATTGTTATACAAATAATAATATAACAACACATTGTTGTGTAGTTGAAAATCTTATAAATTTTATTGAATTTTTATGTTTTTTAATTTTATACATTGAATTTTTTGATTCAATGTATAAAATTAAAAAAAATAATGAAAATAATCACAAAAAATGGATTGTTTTTTCTGTTATTTGAATAGTAATGATTGATTAAAACAGAGCAGAAAACATAGAATAAAAGTTCAATATCATAATATATTTTAATGTATTTTGTTTATATGAAAGATGATAAAGAAAAGCAAATACAGTATTTAAAAATGTTCTTTAAACAATTTTAAAAGATCACATTTCAGAGACAACTGAAAAGCTTGTGGAGAAACCCCCTAATGCTGTCTATAATGTTATATTTATATATTCCTGTTTTACAATATTTTAGTGGATTGTTTTGCAAGTTTAATTATTTTTTTTCTTTCATAACTTAGAATTATTTATATTGTTATATTGACCAAATAATAATTTATTG